CATAGGGCTGTTCACATAAAAGAAACTTGGATAGTTTTGAAAAATGAATATGAAATGCGTGGCACCAAACATTATGCAGCATTTTTAAGAATGCACTGAAATAATATTTTCCCAAATGTCAACTCTATCAAATTCTTTCAATATTACTGCTCCCAAAAGTAATAAAAAGCAAAGAAGACCAAACAATGGGATAGTCTTGCTGTGTACAGTATTTCAACAGCCTCCCACAAAGTACTTCTTGCTTGTACAAATGAGGCCACTTCTTTATAATAACTAGATATTTTTCTACAATATAAGATTGCATTTATAACACCAAAACATGTGGTCCTTGTTATCAAATATCCTGATAATCATGGTTACATAGTAAGTACAAATAAACCTTATTATGCACAGTAAAGAATAACACATATCCCTCTTTTAAAGAAATTATTTTGTTTGAAGAGCCTGGGAAAGGTTTTTTTTTTTGTGTATTTTATGTGTGCACAAAGTGGTGGCACAGCTTTAGTGTATGTGTGTGTATATATATATATATATATATATATATATATATATATATATATATATATATAAATAAAGTATGCTTTTTCAAAGTCTTGTTATCCACAGATTTATCGTTTAAGGCAAGATGCTGCCTTAAAATAATAATCTCTATATTTCTAAATTTTTTGTCTCTGTTTGTAATATTCAATTGGGCAAAATGGCACATCATTGGGCAACAATTTTTGAACCAATATACCTCAAATGGGCTAATTTACAGCATGCGTCCAAAATCCTGGATTCATTCATCCCAAGAGACTGAAATTTGGCAACTTGAGGCTACTTCAATTACACTGTACCTCCATGCTGCCATGATCATCCAAAATCACATGGTCATCATGGGTATATCCAGGGCATTTTTTCATCATAGAACACCCAGAACGGAGTTCCAGCACCTTTTTTGGATGGAACCTTGTAGGGTAGGCAAGGTGGGTTGTATGACGTGTGTGAGTTCCAGCACCTTTTTTTTTTTTTTTTTTACAAAAAAAGCACTGAGTATATCTACACCTTTCCTGCCTCCTTCTGGTCCCTGCTTCCAATCGATGGTAACGAGGGAGGAGAAATAATGCCAGCCCATATTATGAAAAGAACGCGTCCTATCAGCTTCCCACAAGCCAGTGAGGAAGTCAGCAGGAACTATGAACTCTTCTGAGGTGATGACAGTACCATATACCTCAAGGATTGAAATTTCACAGTTTCGGCCAAGACCCATCACTCCTGTGGGACTGAAATTTTACAAACTTATTTCAAATGTTCCCTGCCAGCTTCCCACAAGGAAAATCAGCAGGAAGTCACTCCTACTCCCACACTTTTTTGCCTGCTCCCATGATATTTCTATTTCTTGTTTAGGTAAAGAAATATCTTTGAAATGATGGTCTATGAATCAGATAGTACAACAGTATTATCAATAGTAGAATATAATATAAAGTATAGAACTTCGGAGAACATTTAGTTTGATCTCTGCCCAGAACAGGAATTTACACTACATTATCCCATTATAACCAAAATCTGCTGCTTTATAATTTAAACCTAAAAAGCAACTCTAATTTTACCCCATCCTCTACATGGCAGACCTTTTGATACTTCAAGACAGCTCTCATGCCTCCCTGCCATCTTCTTTTTCTGGACTGAACCTTCCATGCTCCTTGTCATCTTGGTTACACTTTTCTGATATTTTTCAATTTGCCAATGTTTTGCTTAAAATACAGTGCCCAAAACTAAATGCAGCATTTTAGGGGTAGTCTGACTAATACAAAATAGGGAGAGAGAGAGAGACAATGTTTTATCTTGCTCTTGCCACTATATCTGTTAATCGCAACTGCTTTTCTGCAACGTCGCATTCTTAATTGACATTCAGCTCGTGATACACCAAACCAGCCAGATTACTTTTTGCATATAGTTTGCCTAGTATGTCTCTACTCTGATTTTACACCCATGCCTTTGGTTTTCCCTACTGAAAGGTAGGGCTTACCAATTGTCTCTATTGATATTCATCTTGTTGGTTTCTGTTCATTATTCCAACATGTCAAACCTTTATTAATCTTGTTACTGTCTTCTACGTGTTTGCTTTCCCCCTATCTTTTTGTCATATGCAAATCTGATAATCCTATTTTCTTACTCCTTCTTCAGTTCATTTGTAAGTAGGCTGAAGAGCAGATACTTTTCTTGCACTTATCAGTAGCAATTCTTTGGTGGTCTTTCCTACTTTTCCTATAGAGACTGGCAATTAACCTGGGACTTCCTCCAAACAAAGTACCTGTTCTACTACTGGCCTACTCATTCAGTCATCAATACTGCTAGAATGAGTTGCTTCAATTAATATAATAAACATATTGGATATGATTCTTTGAGAGCCAGTTTGATGTAATGGTTAAGGCATTAGGCTCAAAACCAGGAGGCCACGAGTTCTAGCCCTTCCTTAGGTATACAAAGCCAGCTGGGTGACTTGGACCAGTCACTGTCTCAGCCTTAGGAAGGAGACAATGGCAAACCACTTCCAAAATATCTTGCGAAGAAAACTGCAAGAGGTTACAACAGGCAATCTCTGAGAATCAGACACAATTGGACGGGATAGGGTGGGATTCTTTATACAACAGGTTAAAAAATACAACCTTATTTCACTGTCAGTTGTGATACTCTCCAAACATTAACACCAAAAATCAGTAACTTGCATAAAAGTATGCCACACCAGTGTAGCACAATTACATAGAAAAGAAATGGGGGAAAGAAGAAAATTATGCAAATATGCAAAATGTCATTCTCATTTTTTTGTGACTCTAGAAACATACAACCTGTTGCTTATTGAAAAATACGTAAAGCAGAAACGAACCATTAATTTTCACCAGTCCACTATTTCTTTTACAAAATACCCAGAGAGAGTTGAGATTTTCCAACTTGCATCTAATAAATTATTCAGAAGCTTGGTCTCACTCTGTAAAGAAAGCCATATGGGAGACACACAAAATTGTGGTCATATAAAACAGGCCAACATCTGACCTCAGCTATGCTCATATATAACTCTGACAAGGGAAAACATTGTCTTGAGTATATTTAATATGCAAGGTAAACATTGACCAGATTTGGCAGATAAGCAGATAGAAACCCTGCTGCCTTAAGCAAGTTACTAATCAAATCAGTAAAAAACCAACATTTCAAACACAGTATTCTTTCTGGTTATACATCCACTAAGCTTGAAACAGGGGAGTACAGCAGATCAATAAATTAACATAGTAAGAATCTAATTAGGAGACAACTGTTGCTGTTCAGTACTTTCAATGCATTAAAATAGTGATCCATATTCACAGTGTTGTCTAAAGTAGAGAAACTTCTATGTACTTTTGAAAACTAATCCTACTGCTGAATACATGGGGATAGCAGGAGAAGAATACAAAATAGTTCCAACTGCATAAGTACATAGATCATGCAGGTTACTGTAACAGACAGTTGTAGTGTTAACAAGATTAACAACTTAAAACAAAGCAATACACTTGCCTTGTCAAAAGAAAAGAAAAAAAATCACAATTCAGCCAGAAAAGCTTAGATTAAAATCAAATTAGCTCTGAAAGCAGATTAAAAAATAATTTCAAATTGATTTTAAAAGACCATTAAAAGCTTAGCTGCAAAGTTTGCATCAGCCTATTCAGATGAAATAGTAATAGTACTTATTTGGAAAGCCTTCAAAAAAACAATTTCTTCGCCAGGCCACTTATCCTAGCATGCTGGTGCTCCTGTTTTCATCAAGGAGCTGAGTAGAAACTGCAAACATGCAAGCTTGGCTGATATACTGAGTATATTTAATTACAAGACAAGATTTTGAAGGTGCCACGCATTCCTTAATTGGTTTTAACTTGAGATTTTAAATATCTTTCTGATCTACCAGAAATGCAATTTAAATATGGAAGCCTAAATAAGGTCCAATTTCACTTTGCACTGGAATAATTGTCCAAGATAATACTGTGGGAGAATTATGAAAGCAAAATGAATAAAAGAACAAAAGATCAATCTAGTATGGGAGTAAACCTCAAAGAACTCCATGCGATTTCTAACCCCACAAGAAAGAGAAAATAAGAATAAAATATTTTTTCCATTTAGTATAAAAAAAACCACCATCCATTTCCTCCTTATCTAAACATGAAACAAAATCATCTTATTTTACCCTGGTGTCAATGAAAGAAATCTGTGCCAGATACATTAGCAACCAGATCTTGCTTTGTACATTCTAAAGGCAGAAGATCAGATTGCCACCTACAGGTATATTTAGTTTTTCTCTCTCCACGTCCTTTATAAAATTTTCTTGTGAAAGTACATAAACAATGTAAAGAGCTGGAACATAATAGAAAATGTTTTTAGATGAGTCTTGCAGTCCATTTATACTACAATGTCATTTAAGAACAATAGAACACAAATCATCTTTTCTCATAAATATAGCTGACATAGGACTTTTTCCCACATAAGCATGTATATCAGTTGAGTCACAAATGAATGTATAGGCTGCTTTCACAGAAAACATTATGACTTGTCAGTTGGGTTGATGAGATATGCTGTTTCTTGCTGTTGTTAGTTATACTTTTTGTTTAACTCATGTGAGTAATCACTTCATATTATGGTAACTAAACAATGAACGGGAATATGTACTCATCTAGGCTACAGGTTTTTAAATAATCAAGCACTGATATCAGACCAATAAATTTATGTTAGAGCCCTGTATGTTTTTGCTCCAAGTCTCATAATAGCAAAAGCAATAGGGAATAATAATAATAAAAGACAAGAGGGTTTACAGCTTTGGCCTAAACTTAATTTGCCTAAACCACATCCTACAAAATAGACTTTGCTTTTGATTAAACTTGCATAATACAGAACCAGACCTATTAAAGGTATAAAACCATAGAAAAATGCATTACTTCATTTAAAATGCTCAATTTTGGCCACTCTACAGTTCTGTAGAAGAAACATAAGCCATTTACCTGATACAATTGGTGCTAGCCTGAATATGTCCGTTAACCTGCTGTTCACTGGTTCGTAAGGTGATTCTTCAAGCAAATCATTTCCTAAAAACAATTTAAAATGTTTTTTTTCTTTTATGCTTTTTAAAACATTTTCTGAAACTTCAACACTCCTAGAATCTCCAGGCTATTCCCAACAACAAAACGACAATGCAATCAATTACTACTACTTTCCCCTTTTATTTGGCCTCCCATCCACCATATGATTTTCTTCAACTCTTTGGTAAAAATCCTACAAAAGCTTCAATGGAAGGAATTTTAACTCTTTCTCTTTCATATCTGTAGCTGTTAAAGATAGGAAAACAAACTTCAAGGACTCATTACTATGAAGTTCAATTATTTTTACTTTATAAGTAATTTGGATTTACAAATAAAGGTGGGACAGAAATCAAATAAATAATTCTACGAAAAGAAAAAATATTTTTTTTAAAAAATGGGAGGTGGTGTTATATTTATAATAATCATTTTATAGAGATGTTAGAGAAAAAAGTACTTTGCTGTCAACTTTTCCTGTAAACCAAATCGATTTAGATCTACATCTAGATCTGCATTCGATACATGTGGAACAAGTATATTTTTTAATTAAGAGGGTGCCAGAAAACTAAGGAAAAAAACTCATCAATAAGAATTACAATAATTCCTTCCTCAATTAAATTTGATATTCTATGAGAAATGTATGAGTGTTTACAGAATTATGTGGGAAAACTGATCTTTTTAAAAATGAGATATAGACCAGCAGCCTTTCTCAATCTGGGACAAATATTCCACCCTTTTACTTGAAGCAATGGAGACTATAGGCTTGGCTACTTGTTTCTCAGCCTATCTTATTTTATAATCCCATAACCACTGCCTGAGGTACTAGTGGGTAAATATGAGAAATAAAAATGCATACACATACTTGGATGAAAGATCCCAAGTAGCAAGCTACAGTCAATAACCCAAAGTTAAACTATTTAGTTTAGCAGCAAATAAAATATTGATTCAGCTAAGCCTCATAGATATAAAGAGACATTCTTGTAAGACATATAGGATAACAAGAATACATAGCTGAACTTTACATTCTCAACAAGAGCTGTATTCTAGTGATCCCTATTGCCTCAGGAAACGATGATTTTATTTTTTTCATTGGTTTGATGTCAGCATGTTATTAAGGAAGCTTTCCCCAAAATTTATCTACTCCCACACTATACAGAAAGGATGTTGCTGTTAGATATAATGCCTGGGTAGCTTGATTAGGGGAGGTTTGACTTCAATTTGACCTCATAGGTGAGAAATTGGCCTGTATAATCTCCCAATTTTGTATTTCATTAACAAGTGCTGATAGTCTTTGTTGGGAGGAGGGGAAGTTCCTAATGCTTTGTAGATCTGTACTCCCCTTTTGACTTTGGTTTACAAAGGTCAGATGAGTCCCTTCTGGGGAAAATCTTTTAGTGTGCATTTTCAACAATAGGAAACTGAACCAGCAACAGCTGCTCTAGCTGGGTGGCATCAGTGGTCCTCCCTCTGCAGCCAAAGAGCATAAAGAAAATTACAAGGTCAGCTGATGGAGGACCTGGGGGGGGCAGGACAGAGGGTATTCCTTTCTAGCACTGGGGAAGGGAGGTGGCAGGGAAGGATGTTGTGCATGACAACCACGTACCCTGTAAGCTTTGGTACATGCTCCAGTAAATACGCAGACAGTTTTTCTCCTTTTTCATGCCTCTTTTGCAGCGGCAATTATAGAGGGATTTCTGCTTGAGAGCTTCCATGGCGCTTTTGCACTCGTCCTTTGCCTCCAGGCCTGCTGCCCGGCTGAAGTTGCTCTCTTTGCCAGCTACACACTGCCTCAATGTCCTGTATTTAGTGCTGCAGCTCTGCTCCCTGAGACACTGGTCGCTGGCTTTCACACAATCCAGATGGTCTCCTCCAAGCAGCCCACTCACTTCAGCTGAGAAGAGTACTTCTGTGTTCAAAGAGAGCAAAAGAGAACCTGTCAACCCTGAGAGGTCAGTCCAAGAGAACATGCACAAAACTACAATAATTGCAGGGTTTCAATGTGGGAGAGAGCTTGGCTTTGGTCGCCTTTCTCAGGATAGCAAAGACACCAAAGACAACTTTGCAAATGGAAGGCTAAGGTCTCTCCCTCTTCAGGAATTTCTTTAAAATTGAATGTTTTTTAAAAAGTCATTGCCCAATTGATGCACCAGTTGTGTTAGATAAAGTCAGCTGACCCATTACCCCGTTTTACAGCAGGTTTTTTTTTCCCCAAGTTTCATTTTCTTTAGAAAACCCATATTTATGGAGGTTAACTATCAAAGTACAGAAACTTCCCCTTTGACAACAGCATTAGGAAATTAAATGCTCATTTGTACAAAGGCAGTGTTGTGATTTTAACTTCAGTCAGGAAAAAGGTCAAAGGAGAGCAATATTCTTAAATATCCAGGAATCTTTCAAACTTCAGCTTCTTTTTTTTTTAAAAAAAAGCTAGGTTTCTGATTTCTTTCACTGGAAAGATTTTAAAAGAATCAGATTTTCAAAGTCCTCTTCCCCAGAGTTCTTGATATGACCAATATAGTCATATTTTAGTTCTTTATTTCCTTTCCAATAAAAAACAAACTGGCATGTATGCACTCAAACCCACCCCACACCTATTTGCAAGCCACAGTGGACTGGAGATAACAAGTCTTTTTACTGCCACAGCTCAGTACAGGCAGGAGGCAACTATACATCTTATAATGAAATCCCCACTTTCTTCTCATAAAGATGAATTTACTTGGAAAGTTTTACTTCCAAGTTACTTCTAGTTTAAAATCAAAAGGCAGCATCTTTTGCCAACAGCACCACCCTGTGTAAGTTCTACTCAGAAGTAAGCCCAACTAAATTCCAATGAGACCCACAGGCAAGTAAGCATACACTGAACTACAGCGTAAATCCCTTCTCCGTGTTGCAAACATTGGTCTCAAATCGATAGAGAACAGTGTCTTTCAAAGACAATCGGCAATCAGCTACTGCTTGGAACTCACAAAGCCAAGGAAGATTGCACATAGCCACATATCAAAGATTTAACGCACCGGGCACTTACCCATTAAGGGCAACACGAAGTAGAAGGTGGCCAGAGGCATCTTGCTCCTCGGCAAATCCTTCTCCCCGATGAACTTGCTTCCGTTGCTCCAGAAGGCGATCTCAGCACCCAGATATTCCAAACCAGCGAGGTTCCAAAGCCACCAAGTTCATATCCATTGAATTTACAAGGGGGGGGGGGGAGAAAGAAAGAAAGAAATCCCCACCCTACCCTCCTCTCTCTTCCGTCCTCCGGGAGCAAAAGCAAGAGCAGCTGCTCTGCAAAAGGAGGGGGAGGCGAGGCGAAAGGCGAAGATTTCTCACCCGGAGGAGCTTACATCCCAGGATCCCGGAAAACAGAAGAGTCGATTTCTCAATCAAAGCGAGAGAGAACGAGAGTGAGCCCTTCACACTTCAAGCGCGTGAGCGCAATCCAGAGCCAGTCTTTTTTTTTTTCGAGGGAGGGGGACGGCAATGTCTCCCCCAGCAGGAACTCCAAGAAAGCGGAGGAGGAGGAGGGGAAAAAAAAAAAAAAGGAACAGCGATCCAGACGTTGGCTTCCCAGTCCCGCTGCCGTCCGACAATCCGCCGCCTGTCTCCTTTACAGTTGCCTCCAAGTCAACATAACCTCTGCGGGCGACTCCGGGTTAGCCCAATTGGACCCTCCCTTCTTTTAGGGGGACTTTGCACCTCCCCAGACCTGCAGCCGTTCAGGGTCTGCGCCTATTGAGCTTGGTCCCAGCTCGATCCTCGGAGAAAGGCGGCTGGCCCCACCGAAGCCTCGGATGCAAAGCCTTTTTTTTTTTTTTTTTTTTGTAGCGCCGCCGGCGTTCTCGACGCGTTTCAGTCGCCCCCTCTATTGGAGGAAGAGACACGCGCAGCGAGCCGAAGCGGACGGGGCTCGCGATCCGGCCGGAGGAAAGCGCTCCGGCAGGTGCAGCTCTTGCGTAGCCAAACCTCTCCCGGCCTCGGTTCACTTAACGGACCAAGGCCCGCTTAGGGGACTTAAACGGGGCAGGGTTGGAAGAAGGCAAGGCCGAGCGGTCGCTCTCGCCCTCGTCCCGGAAAAGTTTTTTTTTTTTTTTCTCTCCGCTCGATGTGATTTCACCCAGTCGCCATCAAATGCAAGAGGCCACGTTCGTTCGCCAGTGGACGCGGGAGGGAGCTTTGTACCTACCGGACGGGGGTGGGGTGGGGGGGCGATATTATAGCTCAGAAAGAACGGGCTTTTCGCCAGTCAGAGAGCGAGCGAGAGAAAGATTAAGCTAGCTTCAGCCATAAGCCAAAGGAGCCGTGTCTAGTTTGGAGAAATTGGTTCGCGACTCAGGGCTGTCTCGCCTGACAGCCGTCGAGCCTCGTCCTTGTGTAGACTCTTCCCAGCAGCGAGCGCTTTTGCGGGAAGGCGCCTCCCTTTCGCTCCCTTTGTGCGACTGAGCGCGCCCCTGCCCTTCCCGTTGGCCAAGGAAAGAAACTTTCAGGCGCCCTTCCCACGGACAGCCTGCGCGCGCTTTGAGGCGCGCGAGGCAGCAAAGCAGCCAATCTCGGTGAGAAACCGCTTTTGGCCCGGGCTTGGAACGGCGAGAGGAGGGGCGAGCGCGGTGTTCTTGAGGCTTGAGCTGTTTCAAAGGTAACCCCCGCTAGCCTCTATCGACTGTTGCTATCAAGTATTGGATAAATGTCACAGGCAGTTAAATTACCCATTCAAGAGCAAAGACATGCATAGCCTCTTTTTACCTTACGAATTATATCAACGTAAATTTGAAACTTGAAACAAACAAACAAAAAAGTGTGCTACAGCCAACTACCCAGGAGGAAGAACGCCATCCCTAATCGTTTACGACGTAAACGATTAGGGATGGCGTTCTTCCTCCGGGTAGCTGACTGCACCACACTTTTTGTTGTTGTTTCAAATTTCCGAAACATTGGTAGCAGAAGGAAACAAGGCAAGTTAAAACCCTTTATGAAACGGGAAGGGAACGCATCCTTCACCATCATCACACCTCTTCTTTCATAACCCAAGTTTAGTGATTAGGAACAGAGTGGCAGCGTTCTTGCTAGGGCAGCAACCTTAAACACATGAATTTAATTAGCCTGCCCAACAGATGGCTTTTAACTGTATTACTTAAATTCCTGTAACCCCAGCCACCATTGCCCTCACCATCCAACACTATGGAGAACAACAAGGTACTGAATTAAGTTGCTGGTCCTCATGAGTATAGAGAAATTTCTTTTGAATTAGGTAGAGTTGAAGGTAAAACATGCCAAGTAAACAAAGAGCTGGATGAAACCAACTTCATAATATTTCTACTGGGTGTTGTGGAGGAAAGTGGGTAGTGTGTGAGGAAAGTGGGTAGAATTTACTGTGCATGTCCATTCCCTTGCAAATTTTATCAGGCTTAGGAAAGTTTATGCAGGCATCCACTTCTTGTATCTGTTCAGATACTCACTAATCACTAAAGCCAAACATTACTTCAATGTATCCATTTACACTTCAGTACTGAATAAACAAATCAAACATATGTCACAACTACATGACAGATGGCTGTAGCAGAAAACTGTCAGCTATTTTCATACAGTTTCTACTTTTATAGAGAATCTACCTCCAAAATATTCCCAAAATCTAAGAAAAATGCAAATTAGATTTAAAAAATCTCAAGTTTTATCTCTGTGCACACATACAACAAAGCTCAAGTTAGCTTCTCAATATTTACAGATCTTTTGACATTTACTGAAGAGCAGGCAAAGAAAGACAAGCCTACAAATATCCTGAGAAATGGAGAAAAACAATCTTAGGTACATTTCTCAGAAGGCATATTGTGTTCAAGGGATTTACTTCCACATATGTCAACATGGCTTGCAACTGATCATTTCCTTCATTTTAAATTTACTCAGATATAAATCCACTTGAGTCCATTCTAGTCCCCCCCAAGCAAATTTTGGATTATGTTCCAAATTAATCAGCATAAAATGAATGCTAAAGTTGATGACAAAAGAAACAGTACCTTGACATGAAAAAGCAGACATACACACAATTGGGCAATATGTTATTTCTGGTGTTTGAGTGCAAAAGGTAAAGGATACTTCAGCTGCTACAATATTGTAAATGGTCCACAACATTTCTTTGCTATTGCATCTGGTGCCAGTGTAGATTAATGCCAGGAACCCCCCCCCCATATGATGGGAATCCAGATTCAACTTGGATATTCATTAGTGACTCCTGGGAGCTGCCTGGATAAGTCCATACAATTTTCTTAGCAAAGTTTTTCAGAACTGTTTTGCCATTACCTTTTTTTCTTTTTTTTTTATAAATTTTATTGATTTTTAAAAATTACAATCTTTAGAGCTTAGTAAACAACATGTTGTCTGGGTTTACATATTTAACATTAACTTCTTCAATATACCGTATATTCCGGCGTATAAGGGACTGGGCGTATAAGACGACCCTCAACTTTTGAGAAGATTTTCAGGGTTTAGAAAGTCATCTTATACGCCAGAAAATACAGTACAATATTGAATTTCTGTTTATAGATGAGCACAATAGGAGCTCCTTTGCTGCTAGAAAGCTTTGTCCTCTAGTGCTTATTTCTGTAAAAAAAAAAAATAGGGCTGGCCACTAGGGGGCAGATTGGTTTTAAATTCAGAGAACAGCTACCCGTATATTCCTGCGTATAAGACGACCCCTGACATTTGAGAAGATTTTCAGAGTTTAGAAAGTCATCTTATACACCGGAAAATACGGTAGATCTATTCAGTACTGTACACTCCAGTATTTTTTTTCCTTGATCTTCCTTTCTTCCCCATATTTTTTCCCTTTTCCCCTCATTGAACAATTACAATTCTTAGTACTATTGATTTTTACAAAATTAAATATAGACATCTTCATCATATTTTACTAATATTATAGAGATAACAATAATATCAATTCATAAATCAATGTCTTGTTTTTGTGCTCTTATTAATATTTGATTTCCCATCAATATTTACAGTATCTTTATCAGTTATGATTTTCTCAATATTAATTATGTTTACATAGCTAAAAAATATTCATACCAATCTTCTTTTTTTCAAATTTCCCATATCAGAAGAAAAACAAAATGCTATTTTAATTCTAAATTATATCTTCCATTATAAAAATCTAGTTATATCTAAGGATCATCCATTCTTTTAATCATATTCAAACAGGTATATTAAATAGATAGTGCTCTCTCTGATAAATCAAATCTTCTGTTTTTTAAGTCTAACTCTTGCTTTCTTTGTTTGCCAAGTAGGTTTCCAAGCCAAGGCAATTAAACTGCCCCAAAATTTTCTTTCTATTTTTTGCAAGCTGCTTGGCGTAAGAAAGGCAATTTAGATAGAGTATTTTTTGGGGGGGGGAACTCCACCCATCCACATTCCCTAGACATTACCCCTGCCTGCTCTATGTTCTGTTTTCTCGAATCTTCTTCCTTATCCTCAGGTGTATTATGGAGATCTTTTGTATTTTCATTGTTATAGGTAGTCTTGCAGTATTTTATTTGTATATGACAGTCCATATTTCCCTTCTCCTATATCCTCCATCTCTAGATCCATTTCTTCTGCTTCATCCTCTGATTTCTGGCTTACTTGTTCATACTTTGTAGTCGTTGTCTGGGAACTTTCCAGCTGTAGCTTCAATTTGGAGGTTTGGTCCTTTATATCATCTAGGTTATCTTTAGTCTATTATGGTTTCTTTTTATGTCCTCTTTTTGTGCAACAATTGTTTGATGTATTTGCTGTAACATAGAGAGTATTTCCTTCTGAAAATTACTTGTTTTTTCTTGAGGCATCATTCCTAGAAATCCTCTAATATCACCAGTCTCAGTAAGAGTGGAACAAGATTTCCTCTAGTTTTCTGGTCTTTATATATAGCCTTTATAATCCAGTCCTAATAGCAATATTTTATATTAATCCTTGGTCTAAAGTATCCTGAAAATTATCAGTCAGGTAAGGTTGTAGTCCACAATGTTCCAAGTGTTCAAAGTGTTCCACCTCCCTGCAGTCAGACGTATTCAAAAATCAGATTTTTCTTTCTCTTCCACTAGCTCTTGAGATTAAAAGTCCAAGCTCAGTAGATATGTCAAAATATGTCAAAATTTTTTCCTTTATTGCCAACTGTACCAAGCAGCCAACGAGCTAATTATGGTACTTAAATCCACCACTAGATGTCATTCAAAGTCCATTTTTCACTCTTAAAACAAATGGTTGATTTCTTATATTTCTTATATTTCACCTCAATAATTTTTTTCCAAGAGAAAATCTTAACAATTATCTCAGTTCTCAGATTTATCAAAACTGTAGTTTTGTATTACTTTCACTTAGGATTATGTATTTCTGTCCCTCATAACAAATTTAAAATGCCACTTCCATTCACATCCGGAAGTTTTAGACTTCTTGGGAGCCTTTCCCAGGCAATTCAGTTGTAAAATAGTAAAGAAAGGATCAATATTCTCACCCAGTCCAAACATGCTGTTTACAACGTGCTAATTAAAGCTTTTGTTCTTCGGTTGTCAGCAGCTAATGGCCGGCCGCAGAGGTGTGCACAGTCTTTCCCCTGCCAGTTTAGAGGGCTTTCCTTGGATCTAACAGAGAGACCACTGTCTCTCCGTGATCAACAAGGCACCCCTCCTTCTTCATCGCCTCTTTGAGGCGACTTTAGGTCCTTTTCAGGGCCAGCAGGGCGAAATCGGGGACAGAAGACAGAGCGTTGCCTTTCTGCATCCGTCTCGCTGCGACGCAAAACTGAAACCCGCCATTACCTTTTTCCAAGGGCTGAGAGAGAGGGTGACTGGCCAAGCTGGTTTCATGTTTAAATTGAGATTAGAACTCACAATCTGCTAGTTTCTAGTCTTACTACACCTACCTAGCTCACAGTAATTAATTATTATGTAATTAGATAAAAATTAATAAGATTAATTGTGATCATGGTAATTTATTATGTTTCTATATGTTAGTATACTGATTATATGTATCCCATTTTCATTTAACTGAGGATGGCACTCATGAAGATATTTCATTTTTATCCTCATAAAAATAACAGGTTAAAGGGGAAGATTAGTGATAAGAACAATGCTGTCCTTTGAGATTTATGGCTGAGCAGACTTTGTTCTGTACCCTACTCTCCAACTCTCTTATATTTCACTGATTTATGATACAAAGAAAGTTTGAAATCTATTGGTTCAACTGGATTTGGGCATATTTAACTTTACTGACTTTTGCCCGTATACAGACTCTAGAATTTAAAACAAAATTTGGTATTGTACTGCTGTCTCTTCAGCGAGACTTTCACCTCGTATCAAAATATATTAGGTAAGTGGAATTCCTACTTCTATGGAATATCACCATAAGAATATTAAGTCCAAAAATCCATTTACTGGAAGCAATCTCCTTAACAATTCAGTGTGTCCATGTCCTTTAAATACTAATTATATGTAGACTCAAACTGCCCTTGCGTCGTTTTTCAAATA